ATCTGAAGTCAGCGCTACTGTGGGCCTGCTGTCTTTAGGAAGTTCCATTTTATAATTGTCAGGTCCCTTTAAGGACAAAGAAGAAAGTGACGGTATCCACTCTTTAGTGAATATGGAGATGCTCTTCACTGTACCTCTAGAGGAGAAGGGTCAAATTTGCTGGCCACCAAACTCCCCAGAAGTCCTACCCGAAATAAAATGTAACTGGGAAATGTTTAACAAAACACAATACAACAAAGATAATGTCATTTTGTAGTTTTCCAAGTTAACACGTAGCCTCCAGGGATATATTTCTATTTGAGTCTGACAATCACTTCTCTAGAGTAAGGGGTGAATGGAAAGAAGCATAGGAAGTTGGAGGATGGGAAGAAGAAATGGGCAAAATTAGTGAGGAAATAGAGGAGAGCAGTAGGAATGGGCTGGGGTAAGCAAAGATAAGCAAAGATGTTGAAGGGAAGCTATAGTCATGTTATAATCAAGGTCGAAAGATGGCAACATAACTAAAAAGAATCTGAGAAAGGATTCAAAACACAAGTCTTCCCGACCCCCAGGTCTAGTGCTCCAGCCATTACATGAACACTTTTTAATGAGTGCCTAAGGTGATGCCAATGAAAGGAGGGGTCAGATGTACAAGATGAAGATATCTTCTAGAGGTAAAATAAGCACCTTTACTGGCAGATCTTCTAATGTATAAAAAAAGATGGGCTTTTGACAAGAGGCCCTGCCCTGGGAATGGCCTCTAATGGCCTTCTTATATAACCCTATTTCTCTGAAAGGCTGGTACACCCATTACTAACAGTAGAAAGGCACATGACATTCTGAAACCTTTTACAGAAATTCCATTAGATAAAATGTTCACAACCCTGAGTCCTTCCCCTTAACCATTTCTGGTTCTTCTTGAAGAACAGTTGGTTTCTGGTTAACCCTTCAAACACTTTCTGGGCCAGCAATGTGATGTGGGGCAGTTGTAAAGGCGATTAAGTCTCCGAGGTCTCAGATGTGATCCTGATCACGGAATGAAATGGCGTCACAGTCTCATGCTTGACTCTTTTCTGGAGGTCATCACTTTATGTAAATGGTGTCAATTAAAAACAATTAACACCCTTAATGAATGCTTTACAGAAAAGTCTGCATTTGGATTTTGAAGCTGTTCACCAAGGGAGGAAAGAGTTATCTCAAATATAACAAAAGCATTTCTAGGTTTCACATCCTTCCCAAACTCCCTCAGGAAATAATTATTATTCTCCAGGCGCTTTGATTTTTTTTTTTGTGTGTGAATTTAGAATCAGATGAGAGTTTGCCTGTTATGCCCCCCACTCCCAAGTCTTTGCAGACTCAGCACAAAGTTCTTATTAAGTGAGTTAGCTATTCAGAAGTTACAGTGCTACTCTCATGGATCCCTTATTGGCATATACACTTACCTAGAAGTGGGATGTTTCAGACTTAGTCATTGACTAGTGATCTTTTATCATTCTCTGAGTCATCACTGAAACGCCATTGACTGAAAGGCCTATTAAGGTAACTGCCGGAAACTAGGAAGTTTGCACAACAAACCAATAAGAAGAGTGATACACAAACCCATGGGGAAGCCAGGCACTGAAAGGCAGCATGTCACTTCGCTAAGACTTGAAAAAACTGAAACTGAAAAAACTAAAGTCACTAAAAAGAGTCAGCACACACGGTGACTGGTTGCCTTTGGAACACGGGAAGCAGTATCAGTGTGCTGTTTAGTTTGAAATATAGGTAAAGCTAGAAAGAAACAAACCTGGTTTCATTTTAGAGAACTTATTGCTACCAAAAAAGGTATTCATATGCAACTCCCCATGCCACAGCTGGAAGTTTGTAGACTCTTATTATTTAATATGTGCCACAAATACAGAATGATAATTATGATATTATAAATGATATTATATGGCCAAATGCCACTCAATACAGAAAAGACTATGTGGAAAAAAATACTTGTAATTCTCAATTAATTCCAATTTTTTGTGGCTACAACATGGAAAGGATTATTCTTTTCAGACACATTTACATAAGACTTATCGGTAGCATTGCCTTCAAATATCAAGGACAATTACATCTAATGTACAGACTTTTTTGAAACACTAAATCACAACCACAAAATAAAAAATAAACAAACCCACGATCAAACAATTTCCAGGCTTGGCTTAAGAGTTATCTCAGCAACCATAAACACCCAATGTGATCACCAAGGAAAGAGCATTATAGAAATTTATTAAATATATATATAAATTATAATTATTAATTATGTGTTAAATAAAAATTAAAAATACATTAAATCTATAAATAACCATATTCCTATTCTATGTACTGATCTACCGGCTTTACAAGTTGACCTTATTAATGTATATTACAGTCTGCTCCGGACAATAGGCATTCTTCATCCATTTCGGTTTCCTGTTCACGCAGGACAAGTTTTAGGCAAAAGTTGATTCAGTGATTATGGATCTCATCTAGGAAGGTCTATAATGTTCTGGGCCTTGATGCCATCAGCACAATGTTATCCCTAGAAAGAAGCATCTGGAAAAGCTCTAGATGAACTTTAATTCAAATAAATGTAAAGTTCTACTTTATACTTAAGTACTTAATGAGCACCAGTGCAGAATGGATCACAGAACCCAAGATATCACCTAGTTCTACCTATAGCTACCCAAGAACCCCTTCTTATAACCTTCCCAACAAATGGTCATGAAACAACTGCTCAAGTGAAAGCGAACCCACTACTTTCCAGGGCAGCCCCTTTTAGACTTCGATACCTCCAAACACTAGGAAGGTTTTCCTTATAATTAAATAGAATCAGCCTGAAGACACCACTATTCTTAGCGGTGCCTTCTTTTTAATTTCTTTTCCAATGATAGCCCTTCAGATATCTGAATATTGTTACCACACTTTTCCCCCCTCTCCCCCACAAAAAGCCTGTTTTCTTACAGCAACTTCCCCAGTTTTTTTTACTGGATCCTAACATGGTGTATTTTCTATTCTACTTATCACTCTGGGTACCTCTTCTGGATGTGTTCTAGTCCTAAATGAAGTATCTCAGTCAAAAATGTAGTTCTCAGAACAAAACACAATTCTCTGGAGGTATTCTTACCAAGGCAGTGTAGCAGAGATATTAGCTCCCATGTTTTACATATAACATCTCTCTTAATTCAGCCTAGGATATAGCATGAGCTTTTTGGTTCTGCCAATTCTACATATGCCACTGATGCCCAATAAGCTTGCAAAACTCAACTGTTGTCTAGACACATGGTCCCATCCTATATTAGTGAAGGTAATTTTTAAAAGTCAAGTGTAGAACGTTACATGTATCTGAATTAAATTTCATCTGGAGCTTTTCCAGATGTTCTGTCAGGGATGACATTTTCCTGATGGCATCAAGACCCAGGACATCACAGAACCTCCCCTAAATGAGATCCATAATCACGTAATCAAATTTTGCCTAACTGTCCACACAATGAACCCAAAAGGATACAGAATACTTAATGTCCAGACTATGATATGCATTAATAAGGTCAATCTACATATATCTTGGACATCAATTGTACATGTCAATGCACACTGAACTCAATCCAGAGTTGAGCAGGACAGTGGACTGTCGCGCCTTTGGAAAATTATGCAGTGATTCTAAAGACTCCAAGATTCTCCTTAAAATAAAATTCCATATTTAAAAAAACAACATTCATTCATATTCAGTTTCTGAAGAACTAAAGTTGAGGATGACCCAAAGGGTAACGGATAGTGGGCATGAACAGGCCCAAACATACTACCAACAAAGAACTGTGGAGGAGAAGTGGAATTAAATATGTCACTAGAGATGTATGATTAGGGGGAAAAATGGTAGGCTGGTTACCTGGTGAGGGATAACCAATTTACAGCCAAGGGATTTTACTGGCACACACACATCATGAGATCTAATAGAAGGCCCCCAGCATGTTGAATGGACACCATGTGGAGGAATTATAGGAAGACCACGGACAAGACCCTCTCAGGACAATCAAGCATGGGTGAGTAGCATCTCATTGGAAGGAGTACTCAGATCATTAAGATAACATCCACTGCAGTAAGATAATACATTTCATCTTTCTAAATTTGAATCATTGTTCTAGTCTGATGAGACTCTTTTGAATCCTGACTCCTAATTTTGTGTCCCCCATAGATCTGACAAGCATACATTCTATGGCTTCATTCAAGGACAGCGTGGGACCAAGGACCCCTCCTTGGAGTATTTTATGAGAGACCTCACCCAAGACTGACATTGACCCATTAATGATTATTCTCAGTCATTCGATCAAGTTTAAAGTCATTCTAATAGATCATATTTCTCCATTTTGTCCTCAAAGATAGGATAATGGACTTTATCAGATATTTTCAATGAAATATTATATCTATAGCATCCCCGTGATCTAGTCACTTTGCCAAAAAATAAATGATTTAGTATAACATGACCTAGATTGGTGAAGATACTCCATTTTTCTGTGAAAACTGCTTCCCTTTCAAAGTGTTCATGAACCATTCCTTCAACGAATTCTAGTATTTGGCCAAGAATGGAAGTCAAGTGTCCCGATCTACAGTTTATAGACCATACCTTCTTTCCTTTTTGGAAAATCAAAACATTTGCCTTTCTCCAATCCTATGGCACCTCTCTTGTTCACCACAACCTTTCAAAGATCACTGTGAAGAACTCAGTGGGCTCAAAAATGCATAAGGATGAGATTAATGGATTCAAAGAGAAATAAAAATAAGAGAGAAGGAAAAGACAACAGATATATTCAAAGGCTAAATGGCCAAAGCAGAAAGGAATCTCCACTTTCTACGTCTTCTGAAGTATTGTCAAAATGTGGACATGGCTAGGTGTTGTATTTATGGATTCTTTTCAAAGTACTGCTTCTCAGTACTTACAAAACACAGTTATGAAATCTAAACATGTACACCGTTTTGAAAAACATATTTTATATACTTTAACAAGGGATTTTCCTTACCTGAGGGTTTTTAAATACAGCATATTTTTCATCTTTCTCCAAAAATAATAGCTTATTTTCAGTATCCCTTGTCCAGTTTGATAAGATTTCAACGACATTTTCATGGTCTTCAAAAATCCTCTCTGATGAAATAAAAAAGCGCAATTTTTTTAGGCCCAATACCTAGAGGCTCTCAAATAATACAGAGACAAGTTACTGAGAACTTAGTATAGGGTTCATGTTTTCTTTATAATTTTTTATGTGATGGAGGCACATGGACTGTTAAAACTGAAAGAGATCTCATAGGTAATCTATCTAACCCCTTGCTTGATGAGGAAATCTAGGTTAGATGAGCTTAAATAAGTTACCCAGGACCAGACATAGCAGTTCAGCATTCAAACTCAAGTTTTCTGACCCCAATTCCAGTGCTCCTGCTACCCACAGGAACATCACATGAAGGAATCATTAGACTTTTTTTTTCTTGCTTGGCCTGAGAAGGCTAAGCTGGAAGTAATGGGTGGCAATTATGGGAAGGATGATCTTAGCTGAACATGAGAAAAAACTTCCTGTCAACCTGAATGATCCTGAAAAGGCATTGGCTGACTTAAGGAAGTAAGTCTCCCATCAACGGAGTATTTACTGAAAGCTAGATTACCACTCGTGAATGATGATGAGGGCAAGACTCCTGATCAGGGCAGGGGTTGGATTGGATCATCTCTGAAGCCTCTTCCAACCCCCAGATTGTAATCAAATTTCACTGAGGGGAAAACTTTTTGGTCTGCATTTCATTTTTAAGTTTGTAACATTCTCCATGCAAGGCAGAATTGGTGATCTGGACGGTTGTAAGAATGTTTAGTCATCACACACTTTGGACTGTGACACTTCTTACCTGAGCATACCTGACGTTAGGGAGAGGCCAACGTCAAGAGAGGAAAGAGAATTAGGGTAAGGATTTGAGATGAAAATTTGAGATATTAGGGGAGCAACAAATGTAGCTCACATCTCCTCAATCCTCATACCTCCCATTAGGTACAACTATTAGGAATCCTCGATATTGGGTTATGCATGTCCCCAACCATAACTAAACACAAATTCTATCCCGACTCAAAGGGCTGGAAGAAACTTTGTGCGGTTATTTAGCTTGGTCCTCTTCCTCCAGAATAAACTTCACCTAAACGATTCCATACAGATAATTTTTCACTTTGTTAATGTTCCAGGGAGATAATCGTTGTTCTATAGAACATGCAAGTAGGAAGAGAACTCTCCCCATGTGTTGGCAATTCATTTCAATTCAAATCAACAGTCATCATTAAGTGCCAATCACATGCAAAGCACTAGGCAAGGTACACAGACCAAACTGAAATAACTCTTAAGATTTGGTGATTCTTTCATTCTGCTATACAGTCCTTACCTTAAAAGAGATTACGTTCCACTAACAGGGATGTTATCACTCCAGTGCATCCACAGAAAAGTTGAATACAAGGTCATTTATGGAGGGAGGACAGCATGAACAAATAAAAGGTCAGGGAAGGCTCGACTGAGGTTGACACCTGAATTGAATCTTGATGGAAAATAAGGATTCTAAGAGGCAGGAGCGAGAACATACAATACAGGCACAAGGAAGAGGCTGTACAAAGGGATGAAAATAGGTGATGAGTGCATTAAATGGAATAATGTGAAATAAGGTCAAAAGGTAGGTTGAAATTAGATCACGGCCCAAAACTCCAGGACTGAAATTTGTGCTAAAGGAAATATGGAACCACTACAGGTTTCTGAGTCATGAGAATGGTCCTTGAGAAAAGTATTTTGGCAGCTAAGCAGAGAGTAGACTGGGGAGGGATGGTAAGCTGGGAGGAGGGAATGAATTAGGAGGCCATGTGAATACAGAGAAGAGGACCTATGTGAAAGATGGTATGGAGGCAGAATTTATAAGACGTAGCAACAGATGAAATAAGGGTGTGAAGGAGAGGGGGAAGAGTCCAGGATGATTCTGATCTTATCAACCCGGGAAAATCTGAGGATAATAGTCGCTCACATTTATACAGGGGTTCTTTTCTTCATTTGGTCCTCTGATAATCCTATCTGAAGTTCAAAACATTACATGACTTGGCCAGGGCCACATAGCTAGAAAGTATCTCTACAGAATTTGACTCCAAATCCAGCGCTCTATCAGCTACACAAATGACTTCACGGGAAGCTTGGAGAAGAGGTAGTTGAGTGGGGAAAAGATGATGGAAAAGGGGTAAACAAAGTGCTTGTTTACATGTTTCTTATTTCCCCAACCCTGATAAATCTCTTCCACCTATTCCTTCATCTTTTCTAGCTCTATCAATGGCAGGTGGGTAAACTCATCAAGACTGCTCAAGAGGGAATTTTTTAGCTGCCTGGTTAATACTGCTGTCATCCATAGGAGGAGGATGACTAATATCTAGGTCTATGGTAAAGTGATGCACTCTAGTTTAAGGCTGCAAACCCTGGAGAGAGACATAAGCTGACAGACGCTCAGGACATCTCCACAATATGATCCACTTACTGGGCATGCAATAAGAAGTACTACCCTCTAATGGGAACATGGAGCTATGACAATAAAAATGCTTGTATGCCTCTATGGTCTGGCCACCTGCTGCCATGCTGGTCTTTCTTTAACAAAGAAATTCAAGAGTAGGTATTAAATCTGATAGAAGGAAAAGGACAGATGCAGACTCAAGATAACCCTGATATAAGCCATCTCGTTTAATACTAGACCAACAGCAATACAAAAAACCAAGACTTTTAGGTGCCACTTACAGTCTCTTCATGACTATGAAACTCACCGATTTGTAGTTCTGGGTATATTTCATAAAGACACCAATCTAGGTTGTAATCAAAGTGGGTCTTCTCAAAGAGGTTGTCCAGAACATCTCGTGCTAATTGCCGCTCATCCACCATCAGTGACTTAGTGCTATTGTCGTTCATATGTACCTTGACAACAAGCTGAGCATAGAGTCATTAAAGAACTGGTTAATTTTGGTAAATGGTGAGGGCTAGTCTACTCAAGAAGATGGTTTAGACTGTAGGGGCAAGGAACCTGTGGCCTTGAGGCCACAGTCAAAGGGCCGCACTTGAGGACCTAAAGGGCCACATGTGGCCTCCCTACCCTGGGAGAGAGATGAGAAAGAATCAAGTTGAAGATTACAATTTCTTGTACACCATGGGTTATTAACCTTTGTGTTATTAAATCTTTTGGCAGAGCGAAAATGCATAAAATGAAATACATCAGCACAAAGGAAACCAATTATTTTGAAATAGTTAAAAAAAAAATTTAGAAAGAAACAAGTTCACAGACCCCAGGCTAAGAACTTCTGTTCTATACCCTTTAGCACATACATACCTTTTGTCCTATGAACTGTTAGAACACAAGAGGAGAGTTTTTAAAATAATGCTCAGCATTAATGAATTAATCAATCTGTAAGCAATTATTAAGCACCTACTATATGCCAGGCACTGTGCTAGATAATGAAGATACAAAAACAAAAATTTTTTAAAAGCGCTTTTTTGGGGGGGAGGGGGAGGGAAGAGAACTGGGTCTTCCTATCTTGCTCATGTTATATGTGTACTGGCCTCTCATGAGTTTGATCCCACTGCTCATGGCCACAGAAACTTTGGCTTGCTCCCTTTCCTACCTGTGCCAGTGTTCCTCTTTAGGCAATCTATTAACCGCATCCACCCAGAAGACTGGCCATATTGGTGCTAGACATAGCATCGACATTCGTTTGGCTTACCCACTGCATCTCAGAACTCCCTAGCTCAAGAGGTCCACCAATCCCAGGGATTACAGGTATGATCCACCACTCCCATTTCTAAGAGATACTCTTTTTTTTTTTTTTGGAAGCAATCAGGGTTAAGTGACTTGCCCAAGGTCACACAGCTAGTAATTTGAACTCAGGCCCTCCTGAATCCAGGGCTGGTGCTATATCTGCTGTGCCTCTTTTAGAAGTAAATTTAAGCCCAACATATAGATACTGAGTTCTCTGTGTGTAGGGTGATATAACTTTGAGTAGGCGGGTGACTTGCCAGTTCTGTTCAGTGCCACAGAGCTCCAGAAAGCATATTGCTCTGACAATTCTGCTACATTTCTTACACCCCAAAAGTCCCCTCACTCCGGGAGTAGGGGCAATGGAGAATTCATAGGATCACAGATCTAAAATGGGAAGTCCACGACCTCCTCCTTTTTTTTAGATAAAGAAACTGAGGCCCAGAGACATCAAGTGATTTGTCCAAGGTCACATTATAACCTACAAAAAGAAAATCCAGGTGTAGCTGTATTTGCTTTCAATTAATTTAAAACAAAAGCCATGTGGCCTTTGTAAATGAGGTATGCAGGGCTTGCTCCAATGACGTAGACTGACTCACTTAGCATTCTTCAGCCTGACTTGCTTTGAATGGAAGACACATCTATTCCTCTGCGCTAACAGGTAGTCTTTGAACTGCCCAAACTCCTTGCATAAAATCTGTGAGAGGGACGGTTAGGAAAACTTAACCTTGTTTTGATAACGTGGTAGAGTAAAGCACTCCATTCTAGAGTGCCACACGAGAAGCCGCTAGGTGGTGCCTTAGTGTGCAGCATACTGGGCCTGGAGTCATAAAGACCTGAGTTCAAATGTGAACTCAGGCACTTACTAGCTGTGTGACCCTGGGCAAGTCACTTAACCTGTCTGCCTCAGTTCCCTCAACTAAAACAGGGATCATAATAGTACTTACCTCCTGAGGTTGTTATGAGGATCAAATGAGATATAAAGCACTTATCACAGTATCTGGCATATAACAATCATTTAATAAATGCTTAATTCCTTTCTTGCCTTCTTCCTTCCCTTCCCTTCCTTCCTTCCCCCCCTTCCTTCCTTCCCTCCCTCCATTCCTGTTGATAATTCCATGAAAAAATAAAGGCTTTTTTTTTTGCTAGTTCTTTCCCTAATGGAGAAAAACCAAGACCACATTAATTTGACATTTTAATTAAAAATAGATAAAGCATTTATTGTTCCCTATATGCCAGGTACTATGGGCAGTGGAGAATTCAGAGGATCTCAGACCAAGAGCTGAAAGGAACCTCAGGTTATTCATCTAATCTGATCCCTTTGTTTTATAGATAAGGAAACCAAGGCCCAGGTATGATGAGATTTCCTGAGAGAAGTGACGAAACCTAAAACTGGACTTCAATACTTAAGAAAATACTGTTAGAAAATTTTATAAGCAGAAAGCCAAAATAAGTCAATAAATATGATGTCAGCCAAGAAACACTTATTAAGTACCTCCTATGTGCCAAGCACTAGGAATACAATGAAAGGCAAAAGACAGTCTCTGTCCTCAAGGAGCTCCCAGTCTAATGAGGAAGTCAACATGCAAACAACTACGTAACAAGGTATACTCAGGACACGTCTGAGTTAAACAAAAGGAAGGCACTAGAATTAAGCGGGGTTGGGAAAAGCTTCTTGTAAAAGGAGATATTTTGAGGAAGAGAGGGAAGCCAGGGGGCAGAGATGAGGGAGGGGAGAGTTCTAGGTATGGGCGGAAATGGTAGCGGGGAGGGAGAAGCGTAAGGTGTGAGAAGATTGGAAAAGTAGGGAAGGTAGGAAAGTCTAGGCTTTGCCCAGTTGTGCACTACTTATAGATGTGCTTCTTGTCTCACTCAGAGCATGGGAATTATTTCATTCTTTCATCCTTGTATTACCTAAAATAAGCCTGTGCTTATTGATTAACTGATTGGTAGATAATTCAGTTGCTTAAAAGAAGTGAATTCTTTCAAGTTTTTAAAAATCTTTCATTTTTCAGATTTTCCCCCTTTCTTTCTTTTAGATGTTATCAGAAATGGCAATGATCAGTGTAGGTGGTCTTGTCGGGCCCCTCCCAGGAGAATCCTAATCAAAAGCAGTCAGAGGAGGATCCCAGGACTCGAGATCCAACCCCTTTATTTTATAAAAAACAAGGCCCCCAAGTATTTGTGACTTGGCTAAGGTCATACACCTAGTTAGTGATGGAGCTGGGAATAAAACTCAGGGCCTCCACCTATTTCTTCTGTCAAGAAACTTCTAACAGAAGAAGGATTCTCTACGGGCGGCTTCTTCATCTGCAAAATGGGGATGATGATAAATATCTAAAAGGTTATTGTGAGGGTGAAGTGAAATAATGTACATCAAAAGCCCTGCAGGGGGCAGCTAGGTGGCACAGTGGACAGAGCTCTGGCCTTGGAGTCAGGAGGACCCAAGTTCAAATCCGGGCTCAGACACTTGACACTTACTAGCTGTGTGACCCTGGACAACTCACTTAACCCCAGTTGCCTTACCAAACAGCAAAAAAAAAAGGCCAGATATAAACCTTAGATGTTATTATAATTATCATAATAATAACAGCTACCATTTATAAGTAAGTGTTTGAAGGGATGCAAAAGAGCTTGACGTATGGCATTTGATCCTCAATCACAACTCTGGGAGGAGAGAGCTAGTATTATACACATTATAAAGATAAGGAAGCAAGGGGTAAAGACAAAACACAGATGCATCATAGCTACCAACCAAATAGTGATTCATGTGAAATGGGCGGTATAAACAAGCATTGTAGGCATTCACCTACGACAAAGAGCAGGGACTGGCTCACGTCAGGCTTCCCCCTTCAACAAAACCACCACTAGGCAAATACTCCCTCCCTCCGCTTCCGGTGACGGCAAAATGCAAATAACTTTTATTTATCTCTGGAAATTCGAGGGTAAAAAGAAACATTTAGAAAGGGCTATTTCACAACGCTCATCTTAACATGAGAGATAATGAAACAGCATTATAATTAAACTTCTGATAAAAGGTCCTTGTATTTGTTACCTTTTTAACCTTGGCCTCCTTCAGCTTTTCCAAGGCAAGCTTGATTTTATCAGCTTTAGCCTGCGCTTCTTCTTCTTCCTGTAATGACAGTAAGACACTCAACATAAGCCTTTAAATAAAACTGATGACTATCAGTAGTCATCTGAGTAGTGCTGCTACACACTGACAAAAGGCCATAGTATGGAGACATCTTTTCTAAAAAAAATTTTTTATTATAAACTTAATTGTCATCAATAAATGAACATTTCAGTATACAAATAACAAAAATGAAGACTGCATATAAAATTATATAGTAAATTTAATGTGGTAATAACAAAATTACCCTGTTTGTTTCCTTTTCCAAAACTTCTTTTCTATAATACAGCTTCAAATCTAGAGTTCAAGGAATATCCTCCACTCAAAATAAATAAGGAAGCCAATCACTGGCTATCCCCTTTGAAAAGGTAAGGAGGACTTGAACAATGGCTCACAGAATTAAATCTAATAAGCCTCTCTGTTCCTTAAAAAAATACAAATGGAGAAGATAATAGCAAAACAGAAATAAAACCAAGTGAGCAGGCAGGGTGCAGATGGGAAAATATTTCCAGGTCAATATGATGCCTTTTGATTAATTCATGTTTTTGTACTGAGAATAGGAATTCTAAGGACCTGCAGATTTAGATGGGTGGAGGGATATTCTTTAAAACCCAGGTTGAATTTGAAGTTGTTCTATGGAAAAGACAAAGTAATAAGAAATCCAAAAGGGGCACAAACAGGGCAATTCTGTTAATCCAGAATTACTGGAAAATGGAGCATTCTGATGAATTCAATATCTCTGTTAATTGAGTATGGTCATATACACTCTAAATGGTCACCAATTTTCAAAGAACTACAACATAATAAACACACTTAATCCTAAAAATATGCAAAACCCAATTTTTAAATATCTGGCGGGCATTTTAGGATCTCTCAATGCCTCCAGGTTATCCCTATGGACAATGATTCCACTTCATTACAACAGATAAATAAAGCATAGAAACTGAGTTGAATCTATAATGACTCAATGCCATTGTCATTGTTTTATTTAAAATCCTTGCAGAAAAAACACCTTTGGTCATTAGGGCTTTCTGGTTGTTTGGATTCCAGAAAATTTGATGTGCAAGTAATGCTGGTATTTGTCTTCTGTATTTAATCATCCCCTAACATTACAGAATTATAATAGATTTTGCCGAAGTCCCCACTTGAAAAGAATCACACCATCAGGGTCTGCGCAGGCTCTTATCTGTCTATTTTCTCATTCGTTCATTCATTCATTCACTCACTTGTTTATTCATTCAACAAACATTTAGTGCCTACTATATGCCCACAAAACAAGATAGTTTTGATGTTATAAGGTACAGCAAAGACTGTCTTATGTGGTCCTTTCAACGCTTGCACATAGATATGTTGTTGGTAGCCAAGATTTCCAAGAATGGCATATTACCTCTGCAGTCAAGAGCAGTGAGCAACTCATGAAGATGATTCACTGAGTCACAAAGGGATTGAGATCTAAATTGGTGGACAGAAGACTCACACTAACAAAATCATGGATCTATGAAGTATTGATTTATACAGTTCATTTTAAGTGGGAAATATTGATGATACCAATGGCCATCACCATTTTTTTCACATAAATATGCCCTTGGCAATAAGGTACTTTTCTAATACTTCTCACCAGAGATAGAGGGTCCCATTTGAACAGAGGACTGTAGACCTAGAAGAAACCTCAGAGAACATCTGGTCCAACCCTACCCTTTTACATTACAGAAGAGTAAATTGAGGCACAGGGAGGCTAATAATGTGTCCAAAGTTATAAGGGTAAATTTCAGAGATGGGATTTGAACTTAGGTCCTTTAACTGCAGAGTGGGCACTCTTTCCACTCTATTGAGATAACCTCTTAGTGTTACATGTAGAACTCAGCACTTCATGGGGGAACAAAATCAAAAAGAATTGCAGTCTGGGGGCTTCTGAAAGAACCTTTTAGCCCTTCGTTGGTCCTATGGAGTAAGCCTTCTGTAAGTACCTTCTGGTACTAATGAAGTAGCCCCTTATGAGAAGTCAGAAAGAGTTCAAGGGGACACAAGAGTGATAACCCTATGCCCAAACCATGCTTCTGTTTCTTAACTCCAGTGAGAAGGAGGCAGAAGCCCCTATCTTTCTAAACAGCCTCTCCATGAGATCTGCCATTACTACTGAGTTCACATCTGAACATATGGTAGAACTCCTGTGACAAAGGCCAGAGCCATTTCTTCCTAATTACATATACAGTGGCTCACACATAGACATTATGCCTTCTTTTGAAGGCTAAAAGCTATTTTCTCTTTGAAAATACAAAAAGAGTTTTTATAGCTTGGTCTGGTGAGTAGATACTAGGCTCTTAAAAACTAAAGTTATTGTTACTGCAGTTTTCTTTCTTTTTCTTTAAGTGAAGAATATAGGGGAAGACTGAAATAAAAGGAGTATATCCCTATAGTTCTTGAGAAGACTTCTATAAAGAGGATTCTGTTTCGTAGCCAGCTCCTCTGTTCGCACCGCTTATCCAGGTACATAAATCTGACCCTGTCTGTGGGCAGAGTCTAAATAATTACCTCGGAAAACATGAGGCACAGAGAACATCTCGAAACCTTTGTCTCCCTACTGTGAACAGTTAGTTAATTGTTTATGAAATTTGTCTTTCTCCATGTGCTCCAGATAAAAGAAACCACGAATAAGTAGTAAATATTCAGTATCAAAAGAAACATTGCCAAGTGATTAAAAACATATTTCTACTAAACATCCATCAGTGTGTTATACAAGATAAATCAAAGTCCTAAAAACAGATGATGGCTATTATCAAGACAGTCCCCACATATAAATAGGAACATTTTTATACTTAAATTAAAATAAATACTGAAAATAGCCAAATAACCCACACATGCTCACAGACACATTTACATGTCTCATTTATTAAGACATGTAAACCATTTTCAGCATAGGAACCTATGGACTTTCACCCCACCTTATAAAAGCTCTATGTAAAAGTAAAAAATGGGGATGAATAACCCCCATCAGCAAAATCCCAGAAATTTTATTCAGCTTTAAAGAAATGTTAAAAGAAATATAAGCTGTGAAATTACAAGTCTTAACTATGTTTAAAAACAATATACTATTTTCACTTTTGTTTTGACTTTTTATGTTTATTTACAGTATTTGGCTAATAAATTTTACTTTCCATTTGCAATATTTGGCTGTTACAGTATTTGGCTAATAAATTTTAATTTCTATTTACAGCATTTGGCTGTTACAGTATTTGGTTAGTAATTCACATTCTTTGCTTTTGGATTTTTTGCAATTTTTTTCAGGGATTCAGAATTCAAAGTCCTGATGGACTTTACTTTTGAGGAATGTAGCAATGTTAACCTAATAAAAGGATCATATGGAAGTACCTTATGGTTGTAAGGCTTCCAGATTTGGGTGTTTTAGAAACTGGAAAACTTGACATTTTGTCTATAAAATTTAATACCAAGTTCAACAAAAGTAATTAGTCTTAATTATGTGCAAAGCACTAATAACACTTTTAAAACTGACACAGTCCTTGTCTTCAGAAAGCTTACATTCTAATAGTGAGTATGACATATATAATAAGTAATACAATGTACAATGTGATAAGGACAGAAGAGAAATCCAGGCAAAGTATCTTTTAGTTAGGTTAAGAGGAGACTCAGGAAAACACAGCATAATGTAAGCAGAAGCAAAGATTGTCGAAGTCTTACACAAAGGTCAAAAAGGATGCTGAGAAAGCCACTGGTCTGGCATTTAAGAGGTCACTGGGGATCTTAGAGATAGCAGTTAATCCTTGGGGTAGCTCTATTGAGGTTGACCAGCAGGCTGGGAGAATGGGTACTTGAATAAGCAGTTCAATTAGGGAAGAAGAATGAAAGCTACATTAGAGAGGGATCACAAGTATAAATTACTCTTTCTAGAAGTTAAGCTATTGCTACTGAAATGATAACTGTCAATGCATCACACTGATTGGGTTCGACTACTACTGATATTACCATTATTAGTAATGAATGGGAAGTATTTATGGAAAAAATGAGCTAAGTGCACAGAATTTAAAGGAGATACTATCTGTGTTTTTAAATCACTGCTGCTAAAGCACATATGCTATGCAATAATTTTTTAAAAATAGTAATTACACATTTATCTACAAATGACAACAGCTTGATGGAGTGTCAGGGTTGAAGGGAAGGTTTTTGTTTTGTTTTGTTTTGGTTTTTGATTTAGCATTGGAGAGACTTTAGCAACGTTGTAGGCAGGAGGAAAGGAACCAAGAGAGAAAAAAAGATGAAAGTTGAAAGAGAAGGAATGACCAATGGTGTAAGTCCTGGAGAAGACAGGAGGAGAGAATGTGGTCAAATAATCCAAAGCTTTGGAAACAGTCAGAGTTTTGACTGGACTTTTCAAATTTTATCTTGTTATTTAGTACAACACAGATACAACAAGACAGATATAAGATTCTGAAATGCTAGATGCTTAAGTTACGGCCTCTTCTTCAACTTCTATGTTGGAGCCATTCTAAATCACAGCAAGTCCTGACCTGATGCTTAAATGCTTTTAAATAAGAACAGTAGTCTTGGAGTTCCTCAAAGCAGAAGATGTCACTGAATGGTCATATTGTGATCTATGAGTGGCAAGGGGGCTACCTAAGCTTTGTTCGATGTAATGTGGGTAGCTAGGTGATATATCTAGGGTAGCTAAGTAGCATAGGAAAGATGCTAGGCTTGGAGTCAGGAAGACTTGAACTTAAATCCAGCCTCAGACATTACCAGCTATATGACCCTAGGCAGGTCACTTAACTTCTCTCCCTCAGTTTCTTCATCTATAAAATAGAGAAAATAACACTTACATCAAAGGGTTGTGGAGAAGATCAAAGGAGATAATTATGTGCAAAGCATTTTGCAAACCGTAAGTCACTATATGTGCTATTACTATAGTCAGCTATAGTATATTTAGGTGGCACAACGGTTAGAGTGCTGGGCCTAGAATAAGGAAGATGAGTTAAAATCCAGACTTAGATACTTACTAGCTATGTGACCCTGGGCAAGTCACTTCACCTGCCTGCCTCAGTTTCCTCATCTGTAAAACAGGGATCATAATAGCATCTGCCTCACAGAGTGGTTGTGAGAATCAAATGAGATATTTATAAAATGCTTATCACAGTACCCAGCACACAGCATTCATTAAATAAATCCTCCCTCCCTTTCTCTCTTCCTTCTGTTCATCCTTCCTTCCTTTTTATACAGAAGGGTAGTGTGGTATGATGGTACCTTGGAATCAGAAAGACCTTGGTTCATGCCCTACCTCTGACACATTCTGGCGGCATGATCCCAGGCAAGTTACTTAATCTTTCAGCATTCCAGGCAACTTTCTGATACTGTACACTCAAAAACAGTGGCCAATATGCATAGGCAGAGAAAGGGTTCTTCCCTTTAAGTTCCATACACCAGAAGTATCAAGCATGGTCCACTGGCCACCCATGGCCCACAACATTCTCAAGTGCAGCCCAAACCAGATTAAAATGTAACTGGGAAATCCTTAACACAATAAAAATACAATAAAGCATGAATAATTTTAATATGTGGCTTTACAAGTCTCACAGGGATCTTTACGTACGGTTTAGTGGCCCCTGTCACTATCTGAATTTAACATCATTATCCTACACCAATGGAATCACAGATTTGAATCAATGTGATAAAGACTCGAGATGATGTAAGAAATTACAACAAAAGTTAGAGTATTAGTGCTAAGAATCAATGTAAACTGACAGGCAACTTTACCTGAGTGAGAGATTCAGGAGGAGGAGGTGGAGGGGGTGGAAGGTCTAATACAGGGTCTGCAGGTGGGGGAGGCAATTCATCGTCATAAAGGCTAAAACCCGCGCTGGTAAAATCTGCCTTATAACCAAGGGAAGCTCCACTGCCCAGGACTGATGACGACTGAGATGCTGTGTTTGGCGGGTGCTGAGAAGCTTGTTTTTGGGCCTGGATGGTTCTCTGCTCTGCCTCACTTATATCTGCTACAAGGTCAGCCATTAGAGCATCTAAGTCATTGTCCTCCAGTGCGTTTAATGACTCTGTTAAAATAAAAAAAAGTACTTTAAGAAATCGTTAAAACAGGCAATCGGCAAACTCAGTGGTAAGGAATTGCACAGAAAGTGCTGAGGGGCTGAAGAGTAAAAGATGTTTTGGAGGGAGGAAACTTAAAAGAAAAAGGCTTAATGATGCTTTGTGTGTTTACACCAGTCAGTCCCAATCCATTCAAAGTCTGTCTCCTTCTCCCTTATCACACTCCCCACTCTTCCCACCAATAAACCCTCCCTTGTAACAAAGTAAGAATTAATTAAAAGTAATTAACTAAAAATTAAGACACATTAGCCAGCACAGCAACTATGTCTGGAAACATATGAAACATTTTGCCACCACAGTCCCTTGGCATTCCTAGTGAGAGTAATGCTTTTCATCGTCTTATTTAAGGCACCAAAACTATTCATTATCTTTATCAGAGATCACCTGCTTATATTTGTTATGTTTGTAGTCACTGCGTACATTAATCTCTAGGTCAGCTTAAATTTCATATGGATTATTTCATTCATCATCTTTTGCTACTTTGATGGGTGAGACATGACATTCTAGAGTTGTTTTAATCAATTTTTCTCTTCCTATAAGTGATATGGAGCAGTTTTTCATATCACTGTTGATTGTTTGCATTTCTTCTTTTGAAAACTGTACATATCTTTTGATGACTTATCTACTGGGAAAGGGCTCTTAGAAAATTACATATGGGGGGGGGGCTAGGTGGCACAGTGGATAGAGCACCAGCCCTGAAGTCAGGAGGACCTGAGTTCAAATTCGGCCTCAGACCAAACACTTGACACTTACTGTGTGACCCTGGGCAAATCACTCAACCCCAATCGCCTAAAAATAAAAATTAAAAAAAAATTATATATGAGCCAGGTTGTTTAAAAAAAAAAGATGGACATAGATTCAGAGAAAGAATGGGAAAGATGGGTATTCCAGGTGAGGGTACCATATGCAAAAACATAAAGGCAACTCTGTGTGGTCTAACAAACCTGGATGAAGCATGAAAGGCACTGGAGAAGACCGGAAAAGTGAATTTATCAATAAGATTCTCTAAGGCTATACCAATAAACTATTATCTCTGGTAGATCCTGCCAAGCTGGAAAGGTCCAGAGATAGATATATCTATAGTAGGAAGACCAGCTTAGCTAAATTCAATCTCATCTCTTAGACGGCTGTGGGATGATGAATTTTTGGCCACAGATAGTCCCAATGGCTAATCATAGAAATACTGCAGTGTGCATCAGTGGAAGGGGACTTCATACAAATGACATTATAGACCCCTGACATACTGAAGTTTAATAAAAGTTAAATATAAAAAAGATTCCAGGGGGGGAATATGTAGGTATCTATGAAAAGAAATTGTTACCAAATAGTTTCAAAATATCTATTAACATACTAACAATTATCATACAACTTATAAACTATTCTTTGCCATTAAAAGAGGTCTTTCTACATAACACCTTTCCTGATTCCCTCCCTCAAATGATAGAGCCCTTTCTCCCAACCTACCATAGATTTAACTACTTTGTGCATGTTGTATTTTAAAATTATATTTATGAGGGGCAGCGAAGTGGTGCAGTGGATAGAGCACCGGCCCTTAAGTCAGGAGGACCTGAGTTCAAATCCAGCCTCAGACCAAACACTTGATACTTACTAGCTGTGTGACCCTGGGCAAGTCACTTAACCCCAACTGCCTAAAACAAAAAAACAAAAACAACAAAAAAATTATACTTATGATATATAGCATAAGTATAAAAGGTTGTGATAGTATTGTACATATGTGTATATATACATACCCAAATATGCATATATATGCATGTGCATATATGTACATAAACATTTGTTGTCTTCTCTATTAGGATGTAAGCACCTTTCAGCAGGAATTGTTTTATTGTTTTATTGTTTGCATTTATATCTCCACAGCCTAGAACAGTGCCTGGCACATAATAGGTGCTAAATAAATCTTTCTTGACTGATTGACTCAAAGGTACACAATCTGGTTGATCTAATTGCCATTTTAATATATGTGCCTTTAATTAAAAACCCCAAAATATTATATTTCCATATCTTTTTTGGGGTGAGGTAATTGGGGTCAAGTGACTTGTTCAGGGTTACACAGCTGGTAATTTGTCAAGTATCTGAGGCCGCATTTGAACTCAGGTCCTCCTGACTCCAGGGCTGGTGCTCTATCTACTGCGCCACCTAGCTGCCGCTATTTTTATATTTCTTAAAAAATATTTATAATATAGGAAGCCTTTCTACTTATTCAGATTAAATGTTCCTTAATTACCAATAGTAATATGCTAATACATTTAAAGTTAGGGAAGCAAAACCCTATTAACGCTTCTCCATTATTTTAACTAAAACCTATAGGTTTTTTTGGGTCCTGCTTCTGACTTTCAAAATCTTTTCTATTTTTTAAGATTGAAGCCATATGTATTTTTTAGAGTGAATGTTTATTTACATAATCACAACATTCAGGGTTTTTTTTTCCCTATGTAGATTTTTAAATGGAACAAATTTGCAATTAGTCATAAACTCAATTTTAAACATTGGCAAAGTAAATAAAACACATTTTACAGTTATTTACATTTGAATATATTAATTTCCATGCCTAAAATGTTCATAACAACATTATGGTAATTCCCCCATGCCTCTGTTTAACTTTCTTTTCATCCACTCATCCCAATGTATATATTTTCCCTTTAACATAGGCTTAGTTGGTACTATGCGGCTGATCTGATTTTTTTCTTTGCTTTTAGTTATTTCATATGGATCTGTCCAGATATTCCTTATACTTGTCATTCTTAATCACTTACTACCATTTCATGACATTAATATGCCAGCTTATTCAGTCATTCCCTGTTGTATATTTTGTTTCAAATTCTTATTTGAACATGCCCCTCTCCCTTCCACACACACTCTCAATATCCTATTTGGTATGACTATTAAAAAAAATAAAACCCAAAGTTTCTTATACTAGCCTTGCAGAGTGCTCTCCAAAATGATTATCACTTTGCAATTCCACCAGCAATTTATGTTTCCGCAAACTCTGCCAGCATCAGGTTTTGTAATTTTGAACTGTTTTTGTCAGGGGTTTGTGGAGAGGTACCACAGAGTTGCTTTAATTTGCATTGTTTTTTTGATAACTAGTAGAGCTGAATATCTTTCTGGTGATTAAAAAAAATTTTTTTTTGTTTTCTTTGCTTATAAATTGTCTGTATCTTTTGCTCTTACAAGTAACTGGGACTAGGTTTTGCCTTACAATACTTTAAATGTTTATCATACTTGCTTTAAATATTTTCTAGCATTTTTTCCTTGCTTATACCACTTTTTGTTGTAAAGAAACCTTTAATTTTTGTGTACTTCAGTAAATCTTACCTTTTCCAAAATAATTTCTTTTATTTGCTTAATAGTTAAAACTGCATCTCACTTCCACAGCTAAGATAAATATATTATTCCATTTTACTCCTCTTTTATAATGATTTTTGTCTCAAATTTATTTGGAATTTACTGTGGCACTGTGCAGAAGGTGTGGGCTAAATTTTATTTTTTACTATATAGATAACAAATTTTCCTACTGGTTATTACATAATGAGTACTTCGTCCAGCTTTTATTTTCTATAAACTTGTTAAAACTAATCTTTTACACGTTATGTGGTCTAAAGTCTTGAATCTTTTTCTGTTCTGGCTAATTTTAAAATTTCCTTCTAGTATAAGATAGTTTTAGTGACGACGACTTTATAATATGCTCAAATCCATCCCCCACTCCCCCCCATATACCTTTATAATACTTTGTTTTCCCATATAAATTTCATTACGATTTTATACAGTTCACAGAATCTCACAGGCCACCCATCTAATCCATGGAATGCTTTCTACAACATAGATAGAAAATGGCCATTCATCCTCTGCTTAGTAATCTATGAATGAAGCGAAACCTATCAGAGTATTATGGAAAAAACCCACTGGTATTTTAATTAGTATACTATTAAATCTACAAACTGATTTATAGAGCATTATAATTTTTATTATGTTGATCTGAACTATTCATTAGCATTAAATATTGCTTTGATTATTAAGACCTTTATTTCTGTCAGTAAAGTCTTATGGTTGTCTTAATAAAGGCCACATTTGTCTACATAAGTCAATTTGCTAGTAGTTGAGGTTTTTTGGTAGCTATTGCTGATTCCTTTTTAAAGGAATATTTTCTGATCTTCGATGTCTAAAAGAATGTGAATGTTTGTAGGTACACTTTCTCTCCTACAAACTTGCTAAATTCATTTAGCATTTCAATTAATTTTTTTTGTTCAGACACTTAGACTTTCTAGATGTTACTATGCCAATGACAAATAATAATATTCTGACTTCTTTCTTTTCAGTGTTAATCTTTCTAATAATTTTTTTTCTGCCTCAGTGCTAGCACAGACTTCAGGAACCTGGGCTCATCTTCATACCATGATGAGGCGCTGGAGTAGGAGTTAGTGGCTTTCCATGAATTTTGAGAAATACATCATAAATAAGTGTTGGGTTTTATCCAGATGTTTCTGCATCCATTATTATGATAATATAGTTTTACATATTATTTATTTGATTTATTAAATTGATGGTTTCTCTAATATTAAACCAGTCTAATAAATATGATATAAATTTTAGTTGGTCACAAACATTTTTTTTGTACTGCTTTATTCTGCTAACATTTTATTTAGCATTTTGTTATCTACATTCATTAGGGCAATTTGTATGTGATTTTCTTTTTTCTAGTGTTGATTCTGCCAAGTTTTAGTCAGTGCTACATCTGTCTCATCGAAGGAACTGGATTCCTTTCCACAACTCTACATTTATAAGCCTGTGCGATGTAACATAATTTTCGAAGTTTGAAAAATCCACCTGTGAACCCATCTGGAATCCAAATAACGTTTTTAGTTAACATTTACATTTCAATTATATTATTCATACACTTACCATTTAAATCTTTAAAACCAACACTGTAGTTAAATTCAGTATGAGGTGGGTCAGGCACAGGAGGTGGAAGAGTTTCAACCCCTAAACTCTGTTAAAAATAGAACAAAAAAAAGAGGCACCAATAATGCAACTGTTGTAACAGAGTATGTTTAACATTTCCATAAGTGAACATTTTCTGCTCATACTTGCTTCTCCAAAAACATTATTTCCTGAGGAAACAAGACTTTTATGCCCTTAGTTGTAATTGCTCCATGCATTTTGTTTCTTTATACAAAATCCCAACTTAAATTTGTTTCTAGAGCAATTAAGGATGAAAGATTTAAATGAATTCCCAAGAATAATTCTTCAAAGAAAGAAAAGTTGAATGTGAAGAGGCAGGCGGCCATTCTCAAAAGCCACGCTCCCACCCTGGGAGGGATTTATGAAGAAGCAGAAAAGATGAGAACCTAATGATTGATATAAATTAAGAGCTCCTTCAGAATGCATCCTGCAACTGAGCAATACGACAGTATGCTGGTGAAAAGGAGACCTTAAGATACGGCAGAAAAGCAAAATTCATAAGGAACTATATTTTCCTTCATTGGAAAAAGTGTTTTGATTTTGGTCTTTGAATTTTATATTATAGTTTTTAAGCTTTTAAAAATGTTTATGTCCTTTGTATCAATGGTCTAGTATGGTTTTCCCTTCCACACCGTGGGGCTAAGGGGCGTGATCTGGAAAATCCACTTAAAATTTTTGTGCCTTCCCTTCATACCAGAGAAGTAGTCTATATTATTATGATATTAAAAGATAAAATATATTGATATTATACAATACTATACATATATTTTATGCATTTCTGAGCTTCTAAACATTTTCTGTGTCATCTGCTGGTTTTGCGTGACCCAAAAAAATTCCCATTTAATTTCTTATGCTGACCTGCGATATATCGAAACCATGATGGGGAAAGTCATGATGTGGAAGGGAATAGTATACTTGTGTGGCCTGTCATTACAATTTTACTCTCTTTTGTGTGTTGAGCCTTTCATAAAAGCAAATGAAAACCCAAAACCTCAAGATTTGCAACTGACTTCAGAAGCCACCATGCAAACACACACCTTCGCAGGAATTCCATCTACAATACAACCAAAAGCGGTTCTCCAGACTTTGCCAGAAGACTTCCAATGAGGACAACCCAGGAACAGTTCTAGTTTTGAGGACATTTTTCCTTCTAATGTCCCAAACTGATTACTCCCTAGCTTCTGCCCATTGTTCCTCTGAGGCCAGCAAGGCTAATCCTTCTTCCACAAAATGGTCCTTCAAGTATCTGAAGATTGCTACCATGTTCAATTCTTCCCCCACCCAAGTCTTCTCTTCAGAACAAACATTCCTGTTCCTGCTGTTAATGTATATGTCTTGTTCTCCTGCTTCTGCTCACTTCACCCTGCATCAGTTCAAACAAGTCTTCCTAGGGTTCTCTGAAACTGTCCCTCTCATCATTTCTTATAGCACAATAGTGTTACATTCATATACCATAGTTTGTTCAGCCATTCCTTAATTGAAGGGCACCTCCCCTGACTCTTAATACTTTTGATACAGGGTGTTCCTGAAGTCTCATGTTTAAATCTAATCTTCCATTCAAAAGTTCTGGTAATTTGCGGGGCAGAAGACAGTTTGGAAGGTGAGGAAATAGGGTAAAGTAGACAGAATACAGGGAGATGAGATTTCCATCTCCCACTCCCTTCGCCACCCCTTCTCATGACTTAAAATGAACACATCTTTGTCTAAAGAAACAAGAGGCTATGGAGAATTTTCTATGAAAGCCTCTATAGCTAGGAAATTTTGTGGGACACTCTCTGGGAGTTTATAGAGCAAAATGTAAAACTTAGCCTTTTTAGAAGGGTCTGCCTAAACTCTAGTAGTAGCAGGACATAGGCTGCTAGCTTTTATTTTTATCCTTATGGCTGCAATCTTCTGAGTTAAACCTTTAGATGAAATGTTTTGTGGATCTCAAGCCTCGGGGATTTTAAGGTGAAGGCTACAATTTGGAAAATGCAATGATTGAAGTGCTCTGCTTTAGAGGCCATTCTGTAATTGCTTAGGGCCACAGGGTGCCAGGGAGCAAAAGGATTATGCTGGTGGTTTGAATTACTCCATTTTCACTTTTTCACTGTTGTTTCTCTGCACAAAAGATCACAATATATATTTGCTAGGGTGCCAAAAAAAGGATAGATTTCTACCTCCCATTGTTCTGAAAGATTAGTCACGTTTTACCTTAAAACTGCATTTGATTTTTTCCCCTAAAGTGATTCGAAAGTTTTAAAGCAAAGGATAATTTACCTGGGTCAAAAGGTCCATTTCTCCCAGCAAATTGCTGAACATTTGGTCTATATCTTCACACGTCTGCTCCATCTGAAAAGGGAGAAACATGGACATAAGCACAGCTTGAGGACAAATGTTTGGAGGAACAGAAGGCACACCACTTTCCTATTTGAACCACCCCATCCAGGCAACCTCGTCCTTCATGCTGCTCAGTCCTGAAGGTAAAAATCCAAAAGATAGGGGTCTTCTCTAGGCCCTTGAGAATCCCCCAAAGACTCCAGATAGTTCTAAGGCTGTCCTGAGATTTTGGAGGCTGCTCTTGGGCTAACATGAACCAAACTCTGGGGTCTAGCCCCAGGCAGAACTGAAGAGTCCCACTAAGTCTCCTTCTTAGCTAATGATTACCAAAATGGGCAACGTTGAGTTCAAATCCAGCCTGACTGAGGTTGGTGCTTCCTTATTCACTGTGTGTAATTCTCACCCCTATACTCCCAAATATGTTCCACAAGCTGGAGGGCTTTCTCATCCCTAGCACTTAGCACAGTGCCTGGCACACAGTAGGTACTTAATAAATGCTAGTTGACTTCTCATATTTCCTGGATACCAGTGCAACAATTCATCTTGCCCATTTATCTCTGTTATCTGTTATCCCATCTCACTGCATGACCAAGCTGCTTTGTTTTCCAATCACACATCTCCTACAGCTATCTTTTTATGCCATAACATATTTACCCAGAGGCAGAATGGTACAGTGGATGGACAGCAGGCCAGGAAGACCTGGGTTCAAACTCTGTCTCTGACACATACTAACTCTCTGACCTGGGCAACTAACTTTTTTTTTTCTGGCAAGGCAACTGGGGTTAAGTGACTTGCCTAGTCATACTGCTAGTAAGTGTTATGTGTCTGAAGCCATATTTGAACTCAGGTCCTCTTGATTCCAGGGCTGGTCCTCTATCCACTGCGTCCCTCTCATAACAATCTTAGTAGTGTAGGCCAATAGCATCAAACTCAAATAGAAACACAGACCACTATCTGCCATTGCATATTGCTTTAGAAAACCATATGTTAACATTTTCTATATGCTATTGCATTTTATTTATTTTGTTAAATATTTCTCAATTACATTTTAATCTGGTTCTGGCTGCACTTGGGAGTTAGCCCATGTTTGATAGGCAACCTTAAAACTGTAAGTTGTAAAGCTGCCATATTGCATTTGGAGAAGTTTGCTCACTTGGGAGATCCCCATGCCAATGAAACCCCAGGTTCTGTCCCTATCTCTATCTTCTGTGCCAGTCAGCATTAGCAATGTGTTGCAGTCTATTCACACTAACCTGGTTTTTTTTTTCTATCACCCACAATTTTGATTCTCTGGAAGGGGGTAATATTCCATGATAATGTGATAAGAGAAAGGTCTTTTTGAGTAAAGAGGTAAAAGTGAGATTGAGTACCAGGATTTATATACTTTAAACTTCAGATGTGGGAAAAGTAATGCATTGACAGTGGAAAACCTAGCTTTGTCTGCCTGGCTCCAGTCTGTCACTGATTTTATGACCAAACACAGACAGCCGAAGAAGACGCCAGCAGTAAGACAGTACCATTCTTGCAGATTCTAGCTAGTAAAATTTCACAGTCTTCTGCAATTTATGGCTGGCCTCTTGCATCATTAGAATGGAAACCTCACTAAGATGATAAAGAGTGATAACTTGAAAAGTAATGGCAGCATTAATGAGTATAGAAGAATTAATTAACACTAACAGCCCCAGCTTCTCAGCCTTCCAGAGTTATGGATGTACAAGTCATTCAAGGACACAGCAGAGGGTTTCATCCAACCTGCAATGTAATAACTCAGACCATCAGCCTTTCCAACACCCTCTCCCTATTCTTATCCCTCCCACGGCCCTCAGTAGCTCATCTGGCAAAAATCTACTCTCTTAATACTCTCTCTCACCTGATTCCCACTCCACCAAAGATGCTAATGATTTTGTAATTTTTAATGCTTTTTTTTTTCCCCAGCCAAAGACAAGGTTTGTTAGAACATCCACCACACTGGACAGACTCCTAAGGAATCCAAGCATCTGTACAGCTAATGCAAGCAGGCCAGAGCTTAAGAATCTGTGCCAGTTATTAATGTTTTATAAAACGAGAATGAAGATGGGAAAACATCCAATCTGGACAAGATAGGATCATAGACCTCAGAGCTGGAGGGGCCCTTGTCAGTAATCTGGTCCAACCCCTCATTTTACAGATAAGGATTAAAAACACACAAACCTACAGAAATGATTAAATAAACCCCAGAATCTAGTCTGAAAGAGCCAGATACTTAACAAGGGAATATAAGCCATTTGAGTTTTTAAAATATTCTCAATATCATTTGGGATTTATAGCTCTAGAATTGAATAAATGCAAGATTGCACCATTCCACCTCACCAAAGTTAACAAGATTAGGATGGGCCTTTGCTCTGGCATTGAAGATTCCTCTCTTTACCAAGCACAAACACTCCTCTTGACCCTGCATTTTGAAAAATTAAAATTTAGTTTTAAGAGGCCTTTCATTCAACAGCCATTTCTACGTCCTTCCCTCCCAACACTGAACTCTCTTCAGTAACAAAGGAAAAACTGTTAAGTAATATCAACCAAGTAGGCAAGTGCTTTTGATGGTATATGCGAAATTTTGCTGGTTGTAACCTGCTGAGAGGAAGAGAATGTTTTTAATCTGATCTTCAGGACCAAGAATAGACACTACAATTAATTTGAGTTCAGCTACTATCCAGTGTTCTTTTCATTTATATTACACAACCCTGGAGGTTTGTTGGACTTCACCCTATACCAAAGCCAAACTCTAAGAGTTGGCCTAATGGGGACAGCGAAGAAAGAGCCAAGTGACATGGAGAGATACATCTTCAAGATGCAGACTAGAGGGCTGAGAGAAGTTTTTTCTTGCTCCACCAGAGAAGCCTCTACATTTGTGAGATTCCACCAGGGAACCATGTGGCCACAGAGATGGCAATGGTCAGAAGTCCCTGAGTTCCTGAACCAAGAGAAGGAGTTTTGGGAAGAAGCAGAAAGGAGCACAGTGCCTGGAACATAGTAGGACTTAATAAGTGATCAATGATTGAGCAGAGCTGAGTAGAACAAGAGAGAGAGCCATGATGTGGCAAACTTGGATTTTCGCCTTCAGTAGTGCTGTGAGTGACGTAGACTAAATAAGTGACCGTGATGGGATGAGGGGGAAATGACCTACTCTCTTTCTCCCATCCCTCCCCTGACTATGTCACTGCACACTTTGGACCAGTAACAAAAATAGATCCAGCAGGGAACTGAATGAGAATAACTAGAGACTGAAGAAAGGCAGTTTCAGGGCCTGTGACCTCTTTGGGAAAAAGAAGTGTAGCTTCAGGATTCTACAAGGGCCCAGCCTCAGCCCCGCAGAGCCTACATACTTTGGGAATTCCATGAATCTGTGAGTGACCACATGTGTTTCCTAAGCTTGAGTCCACCTTCCCCTGGACTCTCTATGTATTTGTGGGGCTGAGTGTCCCAGATGTTGGAGTTACTGGTTTCAAAACAACTATTCTTATTATATCATCTTAATAAATACCCTTAACTAAAAGCTGATCAACCCTGGCTGTCTAATCAGCTAGATAAGTGTTGTTAAGATCAAACAGAAACTGATCCCTGTGAGTAGCATACTGATTTAGAAAAGTACAAATGAACACTATTTATGTTGTATTTTTATTTATTTTGTTCAATATTTTCCGATTACATTTTAATCTGGTTCTGCTGCACTAAGAAGGTCTCAGAGCTACATAATCAGGCAACTAGATGATAAAGTGGATAACGTATTGAACCTGGAGTCAGGAAGACCTGCGTTGGAGATCTGCCTTAGATACTTACTTAGTTGTGTAGGCAAGTCAATTAACCTCTCTCTGCCTCAGTTTCATCTGTAAAATGGGAATAATAATAGTACTTACCTCACCGAGTTGTTGGGAAGTTCAAATGAAATAGCACGTGCAAGGTGTTTTGCAAATTTTAAAATACTATGTGAATGCTAGCTAATAATAATCAATGGGGAGCACGATGGTGGGCACTTGTGAACCTGCCAACCCAGACCCTCTGGGTTACCCCAGATGCCTGAGGAGTGAAGTAGTCAGCCTTCTCTAGGTACCCAACATCCTGGGCCATTGCCAGTCATCCTGACTTTTGTCTTGCCACTGAACTTCCATGACGCAGGAAGAGAAAGTGGGGCTAACGACTTTGTGCACTCTGCCTCCAATTCATGAACAAGTCAAGACATCACCCCGTGATATCCCTGGTCCACTTTAAAACAAATAACATCAACAACAACCACCACGTCATGGTCTAGAGTGAGCTGGAGCTGGAAAGGGGTGCTAAACCATCAGATCCAAAGTCCCAGGACCTTCTACCTTTGACGTCCTAGCAAGCTGGTCTTATTATCTTCACTGTCATTATTAATTCTTTCTGAACTATATTCCTCACTGACTTAGGCTGTGGGAGAAGAAAAAAGCTGTTTAGCACTGGACTTCAAAAACACATACATAATAAAATATGTACAATATGTATATATGCAAAATATGTTTATACAACATACAATATATAAATATATACATGCATATAAATACATACTTATATGAATATATGTATCTATGTGCATGTATATACTAAGGGGAAAACAAATATAAACAATACATAGGGTAAATAAAATAGAAAATCTCCTAAGGTTCTATTTTGGGTCCTCTTCTCTTTTCTCTCTGTACCAGGGGGTTCTTTTAACCTTTTTTGTGTCATGGACAGTCTGGTGAAGCCTATGGACAGCTTCTCAGAATAATATTTTTTAAATTAGTATTTTATTAAATTAGTATTTTTAAATTCATAAAATAAACAGAATTACAAAAGAAACCAATTATGTTGAAAGATGTGAATTTTTTTCCCAACCATGTTCACTATCTTTCCAGGTTAAGAACCTCTGGTTTGTACTATTTCACTTAGTGACCTCATCAGCTCTATTATTATCTCTATGGAGAGGATTCCCAGATACAACCAGCCCTAGTTTTTCACCTGAGCTCCGTCCT